AGCACAGGATCTGGAAGTTGCATTTGTCTATCTGTCTGCTAGTTGTACTCCTGCCCAGATATCCAAGCTGCTGACTTGGAAACACTTCAAAGATTTCCATTCTTCAGAGTGACTGTCTCGACTGCTACTACAGGGAGTTTTTAATGTTTTCTGATTATGGAGCAGCATTTATTATTATGCCTTATAAGACAGAGTAACTTTATTTATACATAATTCTTTTTTTTTTTTTTTTTATATATAAGTGAGTCTCCTTTGAGACATAGGACTTGACAAAACAGCTTAGATTTTGCTAACCTATTACCACAGAAAATCAGAGGAAGACATCTGGACAGATTTGGCAGGTTTTTTAATGATTTAATCCCCCCCATCCCCTCTGTCTCCCCTCCATTCCTTCTCGAGACAAATGCAGAGATTTGCACTGGGCATGCTATCAAATTCTCTGGTCTGGCATATGGCTCATCAAGTCATCTTTCTTGTGCTCTTAAACTTTTCCTCGTGTTCCCATCTTCCCCCCACCCCATCCTTGCTCTTGTGCACAATTTATGAACTCCTGTCTCTGTCTTCCTGTCCCAGGCTTACTCATCTCATTATATCTTCTGATGCCAGCAAAGATGCTGTTGGTTTGCCATATGGTGCTAAGGGGTGCTGATATTATTACAAACACCATTTGCCTGGTTTGCTATAAACCTATTAATGCTTCAATGGTCTTGCTGCTTCTTTCAGTGTAAACCTATTTTTCATCCTCTCCTATGACTTACTATTTGTTTCCCATATGGTGTTTTGTATGTTTGAATTAATTCAGCATCAACAGTAGGTAATAATCTGGGGATACTTGCTGACAGCTGGCTTAATGTGTAACTGACAATGCTGATTGAAAGTCCAAACTTAAAACAAATGCAGGTAGCTAAGTCTCTACACAGTGTAGGTACAAACTCCTTTCCCAGGATAATTATGAATGCTAAGAATTTGCGTAAGTTTAAAAGTTTCCAGGCAAATATTTGGAAGAAAAACCAACTAAGACCTAAAACCTCTCCCAGAGGTACCATTGCTAGTTTATGGTATCACTGGACTGTGACTTGCTGGAGTTTGAGTCTGTTCTGCAAGTTCTAGCACTGTGGTCTTGTACACATATCATTTCTGCTGTGGTCTTGTACACAAGACCTCCTCGGTCACTGTTGGCCACAGGACACTGGACTGTTTAGACTTTCAGCTTAAGCTGGTGCAGCTGCTGTTTTCTGGGCTATCTAATTAACTTTGCACTTGGAATTCCTGTTTCTTATTTCACTGCCATTATATCTATGGTTAAAATGTAGGGATATAGAACTACAGTCATTCCTGGGTCACTTTTTTCAGACCCTTTCCTCATTGGCAATGGGGCCTAGCAGTCTCATTATAAGTAATCCAGACTGTCTTTTCAAAGTCATTAGGTTGTTTGTCCCATTGTTGCCAAGAGGATATTTCAGACCTTCATTTTCCAGTGCTTAAAACCCATCCTTTCATTTCCAGTTGAAAGTATTCATGGCCATTTTATATCCATTCGTCCTTATGCCAAATTTGTTCTTCAGCCTATGTCTCCTCTCTGTCTTCCTCAGTGTTTACTTCTCCACCACCCACTGTGTCTGTGGAGGAAAATCCAGTTGTCTCTTGACTATAATTTTGCTAAGGTGACTAAACTGCGATCTTTAAACTTCCTCATGAGTTACATCTCCGTTACCACAATGATTTCCTTGGCACGTTTCTGCACGGTTCCTTCTGAGTGCTGCACACAGCTGCTCAGGCGAAGCCTTGTATGAGAACATTCATGCTTCTCCTTCTCCACTGGCAGTGGCTGTCCTGAGACCTGATCTGTTCTTTTCATGGTTGTCACCCTTCTGGTCATGCTTGTCCTCATCCTTTAATGGGCTCATATATCCAGGTTGTCCTTCTACCCATTTCCAAATTATGAGCCCCCTGCTCATAACAGTAATTCTTATTAAACCCTAAATGCTTAACCTTGCACTTTGACTATTACATTTCATCACATTTCTATTGCTTCAGAATTCAAGAACATCTTGTTACTCCTGAAAGATATTCTGAACTCCCTGCTATTGGCAGCAGCTCCTGACTTCACACGGTCAGCAGATTTTGTTAGTATACTCTGACTTTTTGTGCCAAGGTCATTAATGAAAAGATGAAATAAGATCAGTCTCAAAAGATCCTTGAGGACTTCCACACATAACTTCCCTCTAGACTAATAATTCCTCTTTCAGCACAACTCCTGTCATTGCCTCTTTAACCAGTTCCTTGCCCATGTTGTAATTCTTACACTAAGAATGTTCTCCAGCTGGCCTAACAATTTTCACTGTGGCACCATATCAAATGCTTTATTGAAGTACAGATAAATTAGATCTACCACATCTCCCTTGTCTAGAAAAAAATATGTTATCTTATCAGAGAAAGATACCAAGTTAGGCAGGCTTGATCTACTCTTTATAAGTCTATTTTATCCCTTAAATCTGTTTTATCTGTTTTTCAGTTTACCCTAATGACTTTTATTTTTTCTTTTAAAATCTGTTCTAAAGCAATGCATATCACTGAGGTCAGCCTATTGGGTCTGCACTTATGACTAACAGTAGAGCAGGTGCTGTAGGACCTGCAGAATGCTTCATCCTGCCTATGCCAAACCCCTTGTGATGGATTGCAGTACCTGAAGAGATGAAACATGCCAGTGTGGTTCTGCTTTATTTTATTGCAGTACTATGTACAGGCATGGTCTGATAGGAGGATGTGTTTAAGCTGTTAGCTTGGGATGTGGGAAATCCATTTAGCTGCAGCTGCAGGTCTGTAATGTCACTTCAGAAGCAGATGGTGATCATGAAAATTTCTGTTTCTGTGGAGAGGTGATGGGCAACATCACCTTTAATTTTTTAAATTTTTTTTCAGGACATGCCTGAATTTTCCACCCCACAGACCCTCTACGTGGATTTACTTACATTTTTATGATAGTTTTGGGTTTCTCAGCTTTACAAGTTGCACACCTGTTCTACCAGGTCACATCAAACCCACGAGTAGCTCTTATCCCTTGACTTAGAGTAGATCAGCTCCTTCAAAGCCCAGAGAAAAGAAGTGACCAGGAGTGCTTAAGGCCATTGAAGGATCAACTTTGGTATGGCCAGGAAGAGTTTAGGTCTTCTGGGGCAAGTGTGGTGAGGAACTGGGGAAACTTTGGACTCAAAGATAGTAGGAATTGGAGATTACACTGTCTGAGAACATGGCCTGGGAGTTCTAAGATCCTCTAAGGATGAATGAACTTGTCTGTATACAGTGTGATTCACAGACCACCCCAAAAGGATTGGAGGATCCAGATTTGCTGATTTATTGGCTGATGGGAGGATTCCTGGCAGTGTTGACTTTATGACAGTGGTGGAGCTCTACTGAAACTCTTAGCAATGCTCATAAGCACATGCAAAATAAAGCAGATGCCTAGAGGAAATACTGAGAAGTCTTCTGCTCTGAGCAAGAGATACTCTGGTCTTCCTTCGTTGCTCTGATGTTCTGCCATGTGAATGAGACATCACATTAAGCCTGTAAAATGTAGGTATGTTAATGCAGCCTCTTTTTACAAGACACATACTGGAGTGTGAGCTTTGGGAGATGGTCTAGGTGGAATTTTAACTTGCTTTGAGTTGTTTATTTTGTCCCAGACTTTAAACTGAGTATCTCTTTTCTGAGCAAGCTGAATAGCTGGTGGATGACAGTATTCCTCCCATTAGCTGAATGATTACTGCTTAGGTGGAGCTGAAGAAGCAGTGAAAGTATGACTCTGCTTCCACTGGTGAGATTTTTAGCTACTGATTTCCTATTCTGTCTGTATTTGTGTGCATTTCCTTTGCAGTTTGTAAAGCTGTTGTTGAACTCTGACAGATTCATAATGAAAGAATGACTTTAGATAGAGATGTTGACCCAACATCAGCAACAACCAGCTCTCTTGAATCTTTTAGTCTCAGCTGCTGTTAGTACACACAATGAACGGCAGCTTGATGACAAAAAAATATTTATTTATTTGCTGCAGAATGATAATTGGCTCAGTATGGAAGTTAATATGATTTTATTTGGGGATTGGTTTGTAAAGAGATTACATTTTAAGGAATCCTTGGGCATGGAGGTTTTTGTAGCTGTATTTATTTAATCGGCTCTGGGCACTTGAAACTTCACAGCAGTAAGCCAGGTTAGAACACAGATCCTCTTGCTCCAGCAGAACATGACTGGAAAAGAAAGTTTTTCTGTGGTGATATTGGGATGGAGATTTTACCACATGAGGAAGGAACTTGCCTCCAGATGTTTGGAGCAATGATATCTCAGTTCAGCTTTTCAAACTGAAATGTTAATGACCAGCTCCCAAACAAACCAGTGCTGTGCTGGCTCAGGCAGGTTAATTTGCTTACCTGTACATTGAAATGACACAGAAAGTGTGTGGGCCCCTTGACATACCCCTGCAATCAAAGACATTTTTTCAATTAAAAGAAATTCAATTTTGTTTTCAGTTAAAGCTGGGAGGGAGGACAGGGTGAAGCTTGTTTTGGGAAAATAGAAAAAGGAGTGGGATTTGGCTGGAAACACTGACATTGATATCCCAGCTTGATATAAAAGTTATCATCTGCTGATGCACTTGTTCTAGAGTGGGCACGTGCTGAGTCTCTGGTACAAAGAAAAAGCTTTGGGGCAGTAGTTTAAAGACTTGTTAGATTACTCTGGATGTGTGGGTGTTGCTTTAAATTTTAATGGTCATTACAAATCAGCACTACAGTAAAGCTGGAGGGCTAATGGTCTTTTAGAATAACTGAGTCAGCTCCAGAGACTGGATACTGTATTGGTGTAAAACATTGCAGTTCTGTCAAAGTCCATCATAAGCTGTTGGCTTAGACCATCTGGGAAGCCTGGCCCAGAAGACTGTGAAGATGAAGGTTACAAAAATTATCGAATAAATTGACATTATTTCTCTATCTCTCTTCTTTCCCCAGGGCAGCCACTGGGGCTCTGGCAGCTCTACTGAAATCAAGTAAGCTTTTTTCTTCATATTCTTTCTGACTTTCTGTGCTGTGCTGCTAGACAGAATGATCCTGTTGAACTACATTCTCCCTTGGTATTGCCTCTTCCCTCAGTCCCAAAGAGAAATACAAAGGAAAGAGACAGTAGTCCAGTAGTTTCCTATGTGAGTTATGATTCCTGGAGCTCCAGCTCTGTGGGAGATGGTACCCTATGTGCCGGGGAGCAATCTGACAAGGCAGCCAGACCAGACCTTATTGTGAGTATTTAGGAAGCAGTGGTTGTCCGGGGCATGGTACAGTGGGAGAAATGGGCAACTTCTCCAGCCAGTGAAAAACCCTTATTGCTCTGATCCAGCATCACAGGAGAGTGGGGCCAGGATCTCTCTGTCCTGTGGTGCTGTTGTACCACTGTACTTGCCCAGTTACAACGATGTGGGCAGAGACTTGGAAAACTTCTGTTGTCCAAAACAGATAACCTTATTCTCCCTTGTAAGTTTGTCAGGTCTGACAATGTGCAGGCAGGGCAGAGAGATGGTGATTGCTGGGGTACAGCCCTGCTGTGAGAGGCTGTGCTTAACATTTGCACCAGCTGGTCGGGGGTGTTGCAGACCTTGACCGAGTCAGGTGACTAAGTCATTTTGTGACACCCTTCCCAGTTAGTTGCTGTTTCCATGGAAAGGGAGAAAAGGACACAAACAACAGCAGTGTTCTTTGGTTGCGAATGGTAAACTGATTTTAGGGTAACACATCATCTATTTTCAGCTGATTTTTTTTAAAGCAGTGGGACTAGAATTTGGGAAATGGTTCTGATACTGTGCAACCAAATAGAACACTACAGACCACCAGTCAGCCTGAACTGTGTATTTGGATGCTTTCTGCAGTCTGATACTGAGTGGCCAAGAAAATGTCTTTTAGTTTTCTCCTTGTTCAGTGGTTCAGGACATGAGAAGCTCCAGGCTTTTGGAGTAGACTGCTCTGGTATCTGCATACAAATGAGCAAGTTGTGTCTTTTGGGAGGTGTGGGTCAGGAGATGTGAGAAATAGCTCTGGTTCTTTGAGCTAAATTCACCATGCTTGGAAAAGCAGTGAATTCTTTTTCAGGATTGCCCCAGGACAGTTGCTTAGTCACAATTAACTTATTTGTGGCCATGACCTTAGAGCATTTGGATGGTGCAGGGTTTCTTGGAAAGTTAAAAGTCAAATCTGGTGAATGCTATAGCACTTGAAAATTGCTTATGAAAAAAGGGGATAGAGTTGTATACAGCAAAGCTGAGAAGCTCTTTTTAGTATATTTTAGATGGCACACAAAGTGAAGGAGAAGCAGGAATACTGGAAAGTGCTACAGAGTGAATTGGTAGATTGATTATTGTGAGCTTTTTTTGGAAACTTGCAGCGACCTACTTGCTGGGAAATGGTGGGGAGATTGTATTTTGCTGGGGCTGAAGGCTGTAAGACGGATAGGACAAGAACATGGCCATTCTTGAGGGTATCCCTGTAGGGCTGTGCTATCCTTGAGTGCTTCAGCCCAAAGTGATTAGGGGGATTATGGTTGTACACAGAGCTGTGTTGGAGGGTCAGTGTCCCTCTTGCTTTTAGCAGAGCTGCAATTGCAAAGCACACGGTAGTTTTTAAGGGAGCAGGCAGATGGCAGTGTGTCTCCCTGATGGATTCAGGAGCATCCATCTTCATCTCCTCAGGCTTCCATAAGCTCTACTTGAGACTTTGTCCACCTGCAGAGCCAGAGGCTGGCTAGAAACTGTTTGGCTTCTTTTTCCTAACAGAAGCTGATGCTAAATGCTCATTTAACAGGTGCATAACTGCAAGAGGCAAGATATGCCTGGAAAAAAGACATTGGTGTAAGAAAAAATTACCACTCAATCTGTACCTGGGAAATTGTTGCTGTTGCGTTTCAGAGGGGAAAGTTTAAGATTGTCCAAAGAAATAAGTGATGGGACACTACAAACTTGTGCTTCATTCACAGCAGGGAAGAAATGCTTGAAAACCCAGTGCAAGAAGAGTGTGACCTTGTTATGCTGTTCCCCTGTGTGTAGTGATTGTCACATGGTGAGAGTCTGGGAGCTCATCACTAAGCAGTCCTGAGGTGTGGAGGGGACAAACCCCAGCTGGAACTTGCTTGAACAGTGCTAGGAGGTGCGGATTGCCCTCCAAGTCCCATGGCCTCTATTGCTTCTAGTGAACTCACCACCCTGGAAAAAAACAGGAAAACCATTCCCAGTCTTGGGGGAGTGGAATAAAACTGGACCCCTGCTATCTAAGCACAGGCAAGCACATACCTGGGGTGAGCAGGCTGGAGGGGACGTGATGGACCAGTAGCCACACGGTGGCGATGTGATTATAGGGATCCCGACTCTCACCACGCCTAATCCAATATGTATTTTGGGTGAGTAATTTGTTTATCAGCAGGTTATTTTAATCTAATTTTGGTTGTATTTGTTATTCCCGACTATCTGTGCTTCCCAGAATTACCAGCTCGCGTGTCTTTAAGGAAATTAGCAAGAGCTGGTCTCAGAGGCATTTGCTGAGCAGATATTGAGGGAAAAGGCTGGAGAAACGGGCAGGGCCCTCTGTGCAATGCTTGCCTAGTAAAATTGTAATGAGCAATTTAAAAAGACAGGTTGTGGTGACCTCCTGATCGTGCTTATTTCATCAAGACAATTCTGTGTGCTAACAGCAGTTATTGCTGATGGCCTTTCCCCTCTCTTTCTATATCTCTTCCTTTCTCCTTTTGTGTCTTTATCCTCTTGCCTCCCCCCACCAGCCTTTCATCTCTCATTTCCTGCTCTTTCCTCCTCATCTTCCGTCAACTAACCTTTATTTAACCTTTCACCAGCTCCTTTCTTTATCAAAGCATAAGGATTATGCCTTGTGGCTGGTGGGATAAAATAATCAGTGTCATTCTTTTCCTTTTATGCTGGCATCAGGGAGGGGCAAGCAATTCTGAGGAACAGAAAGCGATGTTCTAGCACAGAAACAGATTAGGGTTTCTGAAAGGCCTGCTCTCTCCACATCTGAATTCATAATGCTTTACAACAGATCCAGTGATGCAGGTCTTTGATCTTGAGTCAAAATACCCTATTGTTAAACCATCCCAGTTCCTGTAGCCAACAGCACGATGTCTGTGATTTTCCTAATAATGTGCCAGGTACCCATCTCTCATGATTAGTTTAAGACTTTATTATCCATCTCTGGATTCAAACTCCAGTACCAGTCTGGCTTCAAATCCACAATCACAACTTGTAGAGTATTGTGATCAGAGTTGAATTTTGCAAACGGTTCCATTCATAATAATCTTCTAAAACAAGCTTTGTGTCTATCCTTTCTTCCTGAACTTCAGAATGCAGATAGTCTTGATTCTATATACTTTTAAGATTTTTCTCTTTGAGAAGAACTACTTTGTGGGAAAGAAAATTATTTTTGTATATCCTTCATATTCCATCCCCCAAGACTCTTCATTCATAGACATCCCAAACTGAAAGTAACTTGATGCTCCAGAGAAAAGGGTTGTTTTCATCTCCTGACACATAGCAACTTCCTCCTGTTTTGCCCCTCAGGGTGGGCATAATGAAACCTGTGTTGAGGAGTTGCATTATTCTCTGTTGACATCCTTAATAATGATCGCTTACTGCTTGTCTTGACATGGGCACTGTTTGTGCCTCCAGTGATGATCTGGCATCAGAAAATTCAGTACCTGAATTTGAGGAAGTCTTCCAAATTCTAGCATCCTTATTTGAACTCTTTCAAACCACTTCAGTCAGAAAAATCACACTGGAAATTTTGTGGAACGGTATTTTTTATATTTGATTTGTGGCTTTCTGATGAGTTGTAAACAGAAGAGATTATGAAACTGAAAAGTAAAGGAGAAAAAGGAAACTTTTTTGAAAATCAGTTTCCTTCTGAGGTTAGTTCGTAAGGGTTTGGCTTGCTTTTCTGTAATTTAACATGTAATTTAACATTTAATAACATTAACAATGAAATGAAAGCAAAGTAGAGAATAATCCCCATATCACGATACAGTTTGTATGACTGCCACTGAACTGAACAACACCTGGAACTAAAACAAATATTTTGGAGTACAAAGAATGAGCTGTTCTTGTATTGAAGCTAAGCTTGTGGCTGATTCCTGGTCTAGGAGCAAAACATGGCATTTGTAGTTGCTAGAAAATCCTGCCTGTGTTCTCTAGTTTTGTGCCAGTGTTCTTTGTCTAAGTGCTTAAATAAATGCCTGGATTCTGAAATGTATAGGGCACAAGTATAGCCCAGTCTTCTGGCTTCCAACAAGAATTGAGCTAATACCAGCTTCTTGCTGAAACTGTAGAGCCTTCTGTGTCTGAACTCATCCCAGCACTTCATGTGTGACTGTTTCTCCATGGGGACAATTTTGTTTCTGTAGAGGATCCTTGTGCTTTTCTCTAGCAAAAAATGACCTCTCAATGACCGAATAAAATAGCCGTATTCTCTTTGCTTTAGGAGATATCTTGCATCGTTTATTCCCAAGAGGCAATCACTAGAGCAGAGTGGGGAAGTTGGAGATTTTCTTATTCTTTTCACTGCTTCAGGGGCCATAGGGTTAATTTAGCAGAGCATTCTTATCTCCAAACTATAGCAATGTATGTTCTTGGCATAATGAATCAGCTGAGTGGCATCAACAAAGAGATTCAAGTCAATAGATGGAAAGATAAATATCTCTTTGTTCTGCCTGGTAAGCAGTGCATTGCTCATCATATTTCAAGTTGACTGTAATACAGTTTTGTGATTAAATATGCTGCATGTTTTCCAGTGGTTCTTGGCAGACACTTCAAAGGGGACTGGATTGTGAGGATGGCTCAGAAATGTCCACAGGAACACTGGTGGTCAGTTTAGTCATCTACTAAACTGAAAACCTGACTTTAGAGTCTGTCCTTGTCTCTTGTCCCCTAACACAAAATGAGAATTCTGCCAGAACCAGGGATTCCTTTAGTGTGATCCCCTTGGTAATTTGGATGCATCTTTAACCATTTGAGGTTTCTGCATTTCTGGCTAATTGCACAGGTGAACCAGGCCACATGTTCTGTGCTGCAGTGCTTAAACCTTCACTGATTAATAGCACTGCCTTGGAAGCCACAAGTGGAGAGGCAGTTGTAGAAGTGTGGGAAACTAAGAAGACACTGAATGTTCCCTATCACCTAGCCCAGCCTCAGCAGGCAGAACTGAAACTCTTGCAAAGAAAATAGCGTGCTAGGGACTGGTTTGGGCATGGTGGTGAAGACAGTGCTCCCCTGTCAGAGATGCCAGAATAACACTATGAAGTCAGACTGTCACAGGATAAGAGTCAGAGATCGCTCAGGCAGATCTGACCTAGGAGTTAGTTTAGTTTGAATGAGTACAGATGGATTGGAGGGCAATACTCTACTGTTTACTACACTTAAGGTTAGTATGGGATACAAATATTATCACGTGAGCTTACTATATGTATCTTAAATGTTACATGCATGCAAAAAATTTCACTTACCAACCCATCAATGTCTTGTGTCAGGTAAAGGATCTCTCAGCCTTGAGGGGTAACCTTGAGAGACATCCCTACTCCAGGGGAGGTCACTGCCACACAGGCAGGTGCTAGAGGGAGAGCTCAACGGGCCCTGATGCCTGCAGATATTTATAGCATAAAGTGGTTGATGTATAGTCAGATTTTTACTCTTAATGCAGTTTTGCCCACTTACCAGCCCAGTCTTTAGCCAAAGCAGTTTTCTTTGGGTTTGGTGCTGAGTTCCCACTGATGGCCTCACACAATAGGAGTCATTAAGTTCACTCAAAATAGGAAGCACCATCCCTGGGCACTTCTGAAAGCTGCGTGGGAGGAGAGCTTCCCTTTCCATTGGACACTGACCATACCCAGGGAGAAGGGAAGGGACTAACTAAAGAATAACAGTAAGAGGGTCAAAAGACATAGGACATTTTGCCACTTACCACACAGATCCTACATATTCGCTCCAGGAGGGATGGGTTCTTGCTGCCTAAAAATCTGTGCAGTGCTGCTTGTACCTGTATGATTCATTTCCACCATCTGTATTTGTGCCAAAATATAGATAGATACCCATGCTGGTGCATCCCTAGATGGAGAGACCAACAGACACAGACAGGTGGGGAGGCCTCCTTTTTCCATTCTGCCTTCTGGAGATCTTGGCATGCTTCCTCCTTCATATATTCACTAGTTTATTGACTATAGAACTGAAAAAAATGAAAGAAAAAATTAAGAAAAACACTGACAGCACAGGAGAGCAGAGGAGAATCAATGAAATCAGACAGCAGAAACAAAATGAATGTGTTTTTTGCCCCTTCAGCAATTAATTCTCATTGCTTCTGATCAAAGAGCTGAGGAAACTGTAGTCCTGCCTCTCCATCTCTTTTTCACAGAACACACTATCTCAGCTTCACTTTTCAAAGCAATTGTTTTGATCCTAGCTTTCCACAGAGGAAACAGCAAAGTTATTCTGCTCAGCTTCCTCCATGCTTTTCATCGGGTATTAAAACTGAGACATAGGACAGTTGTGTGTTCTGGTCCCTATGGAGCTGGGATTCAAATGTGGAAATCTGTCTTGAAAAGATGTGAGGGAAAAAATCACAAACATACTTTATGAGAATTTTTTTATTTTTTTGTTTTAAATAAATTCCCCAAGAAGCTCTACACACAGTGCTTTCCAGTTTTTCCCTCTTCCTATCAGCATTGACACAGAAAGCTTAGACTTCAAGCACAGAGTGCTAGAGGCTATAAAACTCTAGATCTAGTCCAATTTCATCTGTCCCTGAACAGTTCAGGGAAGCTCTGAGTCTGATCTAAATTGTCCCTACCTTACACTCCCTGACTCTCTTCTTCTTGTCATGTTTTATATACTTATTGACTTTTACAGGGCTTTCTGAGTAATTCTTCAAGGAAGATTGACTGATTTAAGGGGTTAGGCATCCTGCAGGTTAGTAAACATGACAGCTGGTTGAGGATTAACAGGAAATCATGAATAAAATCATTGAGATTGATAAGGGATTCTCAAGCAATTAAAGTTTTCTTGTAGAAAGTCAAATAGAAAACAGAAATACGGAGTGAAGGTCAAAGGAGGAGGATGACCTTCTACATGCTGACAACCATTAAGCCTCAAAATACAAGATGTACTGGCAGAGTTAGTTTGAGGTGGTTAACAGCGAGGGGATACAGTGCTAGAGAACTGCAGGCCAAGGTGCAGAGCCTGGGCAGAGCTGTGTAGGACTGGAGTAGCTGTGGGACCAGCAGGTCAGTGTGAGGGCATGTCAGCAGAGTGGTGTGAAGATGCAGAGCAGGATTAAAATGAGTGGGTAGACCAGTCTGGGGGTGCTGTTTGTTGCCAGCCCTGTGGTGCCAATGGTAGATAAAATTCCAGGACCAGGCCAGGCAGCAAAATAGCCCTCTAATCCCTTCTCCAGGTAAGAGTTTGCTAATGTACTGCAGAGAGCAGACTGAGACAATTTAGGTGACTTCTTTGCCTTTCCAATGTCTCCATCTGCTTCTTCACTAGGACTGAGGTTTGCTGCCCATGCTGCTTCCTGCTTGCTCTTTCCATGGCTTCCCTTGTTACTGATTTTCTTCAAACAGCATCTTTCTATTCTCTCTCTTAACCTCTAGCTTCCTCTCCTGTCCTGCGAATCCCCACTGGTGACTTTAAAGTTCCGGGTGTGAGAGGCTCTGGCACTTGGCTTAATGAACTGGAAATGGATTGGAGCCTACTGGCTCTGGAGAACCCGTACCAAGAGCCATCTGTTGTGAGCTGTAGATGCTGATTGGTATTCAGGGAGCTGAGCTCCTGTCTTATTCATGCTACCTGGCCCCTCCGTTGATTACTGAGCTCCTGACAGCTTCTAACATGTGTCACAGCAAAGAATGTCAGGGCCAGTCAGGAAAAGATGTTTAGGCAGGGTTGGTTTGAAGGGAGGGAGCCTGGAGTTTGGTATGGCTTCATGTTGGTCCTGACAGGCAGGAAGGAACGCAATGGGTGAAGGGATGTGCTTTACAATACTCATCAGAATTTATTTTTTATCACAAGTTTTATAGTCTTCTCTTTTCAGTCTGAAATCCTGGAGCTACATGTTTAAGGGAGTTTTGCAGCTATCCTCCTATATTTTTATATAGTTTATTTTTTTAATATTTTTTTTAATTTTCTTGCCTATGCAGTAAAGCCTTTAAACATTACCTGAATATGACCTTTCACATCTTGGAGCAAGAAAGCAACAGAAAAGAAGCCCAAAATGCTCTTGTTTGTGTTAGTGTTTTGTTAATTTTTAAATACTGTGAGTTCCCAGAATCACTTTATTCATGACCTTCACTGTACAAGCATGTGTGGGAATACATTTAGAAGTTAAACATAATTTCTCTGTCTGTGACAGGACTGTACAGCCACAAGGTTTCTGAATTTGTTGATCTCAGCAAGGTTTTCTCTCAGGACTGAAGTACAACACTTCAGAAGATTTTATGACCTGCTGTTGACTAATATTACTGTTCTTTAGCTTTTCTCACTCCTCAAGAGCTTCTGCAGTTTCAGGAAATCTTGTAGGGCTGCAATTGGAATTAAATTTCTTAGCACATGGAAGGATATATGGGCTCTGCCCATTCCCTACTCATGGTGTGGTTCATCTGTAGGGTTCTGGAGCAGCTCTTTGCAGATAGACAGGGGAGAGACTGCTTCTTTTTTTCATGTATGATTCCAAGAACCTAGTGCATGGTTAGCAAGTAACACCCTAGATAACAATGATTTTAAAAAGTTAAAAAAATTCTATTTTTTTTTAACTAAGACCATTAAGTAAGAATGAACAGGTGCTAAAGTCTGAGTTTGAGCACTGAGTTGCCACGTTGCTTTCAAACAGAAAAGAGTTTAATTCAGCCTTTTCTCTCTGCTTTCAGAGTCCAACAGCCGCCGGGCAGTGAACAGGGGCTACCTGGGTGGCTTGCTGAGACTCTACCAAGACTGGCATCACAATGATGTCTCCAACAACTACATTTACATTCGAAGGGGTCTCCTGCTCTGCCTAAAGTACATCACCAACATCCAGCTGGGCAGGGAGACTTTCCTTGGTTCCAGAGGAATGGAGATTCTCTTCACAAGCGTGCAGGTAACGGTGCTTTTTGCGTTTAAATGAGGTGATTTGGTAGTTAGTGCTGGGTTTTACCTCACAGTGCAGGAAATTCCATACTTATATAAATTCAGGATAGGACATATAGATGAAAAAATGATAATGTTAAGAAGTACTAACTTTTATACAGTTAGTAATTCAGAAAAGCTGAAATGTTTCAGTTTAAAACAAATCTTAATTCCTACGATCCTCAAGGGAGTTCTAGTTCAGGGTTTTATTGCTTTTTTCTCCTTCCCTGTGCATCCTGCTGTCTGCTTGGTCTTCCTCTCCTGAAGAATAATGCAGTATATCTATAGAGGAATTGCTGAAGTGTTTCATGAGATTTTTCCTTTACTGTATCCAGATAATTCCACTCAATCAGCTTATTTAGCCACGCCCTTTATAATAAGAAACATCCATCAACTGATTTGCAGGAGGCTAAATTTTAATCTTGTGAAACATTATTGTGGGTTCAGGAAAGATGCCATAGTCCTGTGGATGGGATCCCTATAAAGTATAGAAAAGGCAGGTACAGAACAGTGGCAGTTTCTTCAGCCTTTCAGCAACATGCTTCCTTAGCCTGCTGTGGAGAAGTGACTTAGGGAAAATCCTTCCGTTGTAGACCTGATTCCACAGAAGTGTTTCAATTATCATTCTTACTGGCCAGTGCATTATCTCATTCTAGGACCATCACAGACACAGAGAAAAACCTGTCCCCTTCTCCTTCAGAAAATCCATTGCCCTGTGATCCAGTGTGTCTACTTCTTCCCTTTTACCATCACTGCCATGAATGATTCTTCTGTGACTGAAAGATATTTCTTACTAACAGTATATAGGAGACTTCTGGAATTTTTTCACTTCACTCTCCTCATGAGGAATTGACCATTCCTTTAGGTGGGATGAGGTGGCCAGAACTAGCAGACCTTCTGAGGGCCTATGGCCTCTGTTAATGAGAAGTCCCTGGTCTGCAGAAACTTTAATAGGGTGGATGGAAACAGCTACTTGAGGGTAGATGTCAGCTCGTTCCCTCTCCAGAGCCTTCTTCAGCCCATGAAGCTTTCTGAGCTAACATCTCCTGATAGCTCAGCCTGGGAGCAACTCCATGGGAAGTGCAAACATTGGGTCACCTTGGGTGAGCAAACAGGAAATGACATACTAAGGCTCCAGTAAACACTGATAATGCTAATCCTTCCAAAGGTTAGAAGTGGAGCGGAAATGACAGCTCCAGGGGCCTCCAGTTTGCTTTATTCTAATGTGCACTGTAAGGGAGACCTTGGACAAGAAATTACCAAGGTTAATAAATTCAAAGCTCAGTATATTCCCTCACTGCTTCTTTGGGATATTGTCAGTCTCCCAGTGTCTCTCCAAGACACCAAGCATTGGAGTGCTTCCTACTCCTGATTGGGAAAGCAATGACTCTTTATGGACAGTATTTTGGTGCCTTTAGGAATTTGCTGGTGATTAACCTTGACCAAACTCTGAGCAGCTAATGAGATTTTAAAGGTGTTAAAAGCTGGCTAGAAAAGTTCTGCTGAAACTTTTTTCTATTGAAATGGAAACAGTTTTGTCAAGATGGGTTTGTTTTAAATTCCAGTGGATATCCTATTTACAAGGATGGTTTTCAATTGAAACCTCTCTGGCTGCCTATTGTCTGGGCTGATGGACAGATGAAATACCTAAGCTTTTAATAGTCCTTAAGCTTATGTCTTTAGAGAAAGAGCCAATAGTTCAAAGACTGTCACCTTACATAGATTAGAAGTGACTGCTACTTTATTTGAGGAGAGTTTAGAGATATTTTAGGGGAATTTAGAGATATTTTATATTCTGCTTTTACCTGGAATGAAAAATAGTTTTAGATAATGAAATCATTTGTGGAAAGGAAATACTTTCTGTTCCCATTGCTTTTTCCTAGCTGCAGTTAGACTTTCCTGACAGTAAAATGGTATATTCACATTAACACTGGCTGGTTTTGTGTGCAGTGATAGAGCTGCCTGCTCTGAGACAAGAAAACAGGTTGGTATCTACTTTAGGAGAGGCTGCTGCATGCAGTGTTATTTTGCTATTTTATCACTTTTCCATCTGATGTCTTAAGCTTGCCTGGTTTATTTTCCTGTACTACTCTAGGATAATATCATCCTATACTCCACTCTCCATTTTCCAGTAGTAGCATCCATTAGGATCACTATCTTTTGTCTTACTGTCATATTGAAACCTCCTTTTTTTTGTATATATCACATATTGTAATATCTGGACTATTGCAGATTCAATGGAGAAAAGATGGAGTGTGGAGACTAAAAGATCTCTTGAATTCAGGGTAGATTTACGTGAGTTTTCTGAGCTAAGGATTCACTCTTCCCTCATTCACATTATCCCACCACAAAATAAGTGGGGTAGCTTACACACAAACAAAGCAGTCTCCTGCCTATTTCTCAGGTGCCAGTAAAAAAGGCTTTTCCAACACAACGATGTAATATTTTTCAGTCACTTGTAAACTGTATTATCTTGGAATCTGAGGGCACTTTGTGAGCACTAATCCAAACAGTCCCACAAATTCCCTGTAAGGTATCTGAAGGCTTGTTTGCACTTGTAAGCTAATTTGCTGTAAAGAAAAATACGACTTTCAAATGGCATCATTGAGTAACTCCATGTGTGGAAATTCATTGACTGGATGTATATGCCTTGTTCTTGACTATTTAAATTCACTTGGCAGTGAATTAAGTTGGCTGTCCCAAGGCAGGCAATTAAACAATCCTGTGTTCACTGTTCTAGTAAAAACAGAACAGTTTTAGTAAACTAAGCTACAGTAAGACTGTTCAAGAATGTTAGCCTGTTCCCACATGGAGACAAACTTTCCTAATCTTTCCTTTAATAACAAGCAAACAAAGGAAACCATGTGAAAGAGTGAATAAATTGAAACAGAAATAGAAACCAGTTCTCCTTGGTGTTTGCTATACCCATAATAAAACTTTCCTTGGAGATGCTTTCAAAATTGTCTTTTCTCTCCCCCTTGTTCCAAACAGCCAAAGATCTAGAAATACATATTAGGATTCTTGTAGTGAGTCTTGTAAGCATGTCAGCTTTAGATGATTTTTTCCTAGCCTCCCTACAGGAATCCCGGTTAATCCCACTGAATCTTATAATGCCGTTCAATCATACATGAGAAAACAGAGTAAAATCTTCTACAACCAAAAAAACCCCAACACAGTCATTTTCCTGTTTCTGATTATAATAAAGTACTTTAGAATCATAGAATCATTTAGATTGGAAAAGACCTTTAAGATGGAATCCAATCATTAACCCAGCACTGCTCAGGGGGGGACCCGTGTGTAACAGGTAGGACAGTTGTAAGAGACCATCCTTAGTGTTGTTCTCCTTTTGTTCCTAGGACTGTTTATCTTGTAAAAATCTGTATCCTATTATAACCACTGCAACTCAGATTCTGAGAAAGTGCTACCCCAAGGAGCATTTGCCTGTGGCGACAGTAAGCAGTTCCTATTCCTTCCCTCTTCCTGGGAATGCCAAGGCTGAACCTCCATGTGAGGAATCTGAAGGTAAATGGCTGAAGGTTGAATTCAATAGGAAGAAAAAGAGCATGACATGAGATTTAAGTGTGGGGTCTGGGGAAGGGAGTCTTGGTATCACAGTCCTGGGGTTTACAGTTAAAATTAATCTGATGGCCTACAGTGTCATTCAATAGAGAATAAACTACTCCCAGGTCTTCTTGAACCTGGGAGAGCTTGTTTATAGAATAAATAAAAGAAGAATAAAAGGAGGGAGAAAAAATAAAAAGAAATTCTTCTATTATCCAAAGAAATAATGGAGCAGAGTGGGCATAGCAAAGGCTGGAAATGCCATTGATCCACAGGAACAGAGTGAGGCATACCTGTGCCTGTGCATGGCTGTTTGGGAGAGGGGGAACTGCCCTGCAGCTTTTTCCTTAAAGAATTGTGGGAATTATTATCCTTTTCACTTTCTAAAATAAAAGCAGGTAGCAGTCATTCTCCATGAGTAGAAGATGTGAGCTCTTGCTGAAAAGTAGAACTCAAGTACAGGCAGGATAGCTACTCCCCAGAAAAGGAGAAACAGCAGGCTCCATGATACACACAAGCAATTTCTGTTGCATTCAGTTTCATGTGGAAGATGCTCAAATACTATAACAATCATAGCAGTAAAACACTCTAATCTAGATAATATAGATTAAGAACATCCTGTAATATCATTGCAGCCAAGCAGAAAATCTCTGTATTGCTTTGTAAAATGAGTTGGATCCATACCATGGGGACATTTGTCATGGTTTTGAAAGGCAGTGTTTGAGTCCAAGGGAACAGAGCTTTAAAAACTGGATGATTTAGTGCCAAATTCAGAGATTAACAAATGAGATTTGTTTTAATCAGGGTTGTGGTGGGTTATAGAGTGTGTGGCACACACAGAAGAGTTTACATGTATTTCTCTGCAGGACATGAGAGGGAGATTAGGTTGAACACCTTTGACTCTACCTCTTTCCTACTCCTGCAGGTGACTATGAAAGTGATGGAGAAGAAGAGGCTGAAAAAGACCTGGATAACGAGGATGGGGAGAGTAAGGAGGAAGTAGGTATATGAGCCATAGTTTCCATAATTATCTACATACTGGAAAGTAAAACTTTTCATCGCCCATTTTGACACTCCGAAAGATTATCTAAGCAGAGAATGTAGATGTGCATGTGGTCCTACATGAACACACTAAATGAATAATAGAAAAATATTTGAAAGAAGACAAGGACAAAGCATTGATTTTCATTAGAGTTCCCCTCCGTTTATTTTATTCGTTGCCATCTTGTTACCCAGGATGGTGTGGATTTGGTGACTTCTCTGTTCCTGCAGAGAGACTGACCAGCAACTATTAGAATCACATACGCAGTCAGGGATAAATGGTGGATCTTTGATTCCTCTAGGTGTATGCCAGAAAAATGAAACTTACTCAGGAAAAATTGATTTATCACCTAGGAAAGACTAACCCTTTCTTTCTTCCCATATCAGATCATATTTGGCCTGTGCACCCACACTAAGGAAAAGGTTAGTTATTTTAAGCCAGAGCTGGGGCATTTGAACCTATATTCCTTCTTTATTTGATGTTCTACACAGACAAATAATACAATGAATTATTCCATACTTCCCTGAATTCTTCCTTAGCATTCTCCCTGCTGTGACCTCACTGGCAAAAAACCCCCTACCAGCTGAGGATGAGAGTGCAAACCTTTTTCTTGTGAAAATACAAACAAGCTCATATGCAAATGTGAAGTACTGAATGCTGCTAATAAGTCTTATCCACCTAAAGTGGCTTGGGAAGGCAAATTAAAGAAATGAAGTTGCATATACAATCTAATTAGATATGATTGAAACTTCTGTGAAAGGGTGTTCTCATTACTACCCTGGCTTTTTCTCCTCAAGTATTAAACTGATGTCACCCAATGAAAAAAGGAAGTTAAAAAAAACCCCCACACATTATCTCAGTGTCCTAACTTGCCCTTGTCTGGCTGTTTTTATCTGAATATTAGAGCTTGTCAAGATGTTCATTAGGAATAAGGTTCATAGTGAATTTATCTCCTTCTTTAATTAGTTATTCATTCAGAAACAGCTCCTATGCTTCTGAACTATTTCATTATTCATAAGGATTTACCAAGTAGATGTAAGCAGTTTTGGGGTTTTTTTTGCCTAAGAGCTTGTTCTGAGTAGGAGTTTTAAATACTGTTTGTCTGGTGTGCTGGTCATATATCTTCCTTGAAAAATCTTGCTAGAGGGAAAGCAAGCATGGAATGGATAATGAACTTTCAGCTTACCTTTCTTTGTGTAAGATCTTTTGTACAATGTTTCCTGGTATTGATGTGGTTTACAAACATTTTCACAGCTACATAACATATCCATGCATACAAGCAATAGCAACCGAACTGAAACTCGGCTTACGCTTCTGGCAGGAGCTGTTCAGACAGTTCTATGAAAATCAAAATCACCACATCAACCCTCTATTCTTTTCAGTCCAAATCTTCAGCAAGTTTGAAGCTATTTATGCATCAGTATGCTGTTAGTGGCAAATCCTTTTAACCTGACCTCATGCTCCTTGCAGCCCTTCATTGCCTTTTGCCCTATGCCCAAACAGCAGCTCAGACTCTGCTTAATGACACAAGTGTGGCTTGGGGTTTGAAATGCCATGGACACCTGTGCATTCAGGCAATTTTACATTTTTCTTTCCATAACAGCTTCAGAAATTAGTCTGATTGTCAGGAGCAAATCACTTCTTTGATGGTATTTGGTGGGACGTACTTAAAGACATGTGGAATTATTTGAACAATGATGTAGTGTAATGCCCTGTCATCAATGCCATGTCTCCATCCTTCCCTCCTGCCCCATCTTGTCCTGTTTTTTGTTTTGTTTTGGTTTTTTTTGTTTTGTTTTTTTTGTTTTGTTTTGGGTTTTGTTTGTTTGTTTTGTTTTGTTTTGTTTTGTTTGGTCTTTGTTTTTTTATTTGTTTGGTTTTGTTTTTTTTTTATGCAATGACTGAATGTTTGACACAATTTGGCCTTGGTTCTCATATCTGATATGGGTGAGGGTGCAAATCAATGCACAGGAACTTTCAACTGTGAAAGTTTCAGATCCTGTTCTTATCCCCAGTTCACTGATGGTTGAGATCATCTTGTGGGGCATTTGTAATTTATCTGCTTTTCTAATTCTGCTTTTGTAGGATTATGATTTGGAGACAGATGTGAATAAATTGAGGTCAAAGCCAGTGCTTGACCGGCCTGAGGAAGATCTTGGACAATATGAAGCAATGTGTCCAGAACTTTCCCATAATTTTCAGGTACAATCATAGTGAGGTTTCCTTTATTTATGAATATTCCAGAATTTTAGAAATACTTGAAAGGGAGTATTGACAAGTGATGACTAGACAAGGCTATTGCAAAAGGAAACCTGTAAGCCTTATAGGACTGGAAAACCAAAGATTATGACTTTTTACTATAGTTTATTGGTGTGAATCGTGAGTGATAAAGGGAATGATGTTTGATGCACATTTGTCTGGGTATAGATTAAGTAAGCACTGTTGAATCAATTGCCACATGAGAAATCTGTCAGATAATTTGTATCCTTGCTGGCAATTTCAACAGCAACATCAAGATCAGAATGAGATGTGGAAAATAAATACTGTCAACTAGTGGTTTGAAGGAAGAGGGGAAAATTGCACTGCCACTGAGTGAAATGAACAGTTCAAATATTTTTTCCTAGTTCAGTCTGGGACAAAAAATGGACTACTGCACTCATTACAAGTCTTGGAATTTAGGAGAGCTGAAAACCCTGATTCAAATATGAGTCTGGAAAAGACCACTGGTTTAATGTATCTCCTGTATACACAATATTGTTACATTGATTGTCACCATAAGTAGCCAAATGGGATTAAATTATACTCTTGTATGAAGGTGGGGTGGAGTTTTGCATGACAGATTGGCTGCCTTTACCCCGCTGTAACATTTGTATTTAAAAAAAATGCCTTGCAAAATATCTTCCCTTCTTTGTTAGAACAATTGGTTTCAGTTGAGTCATTTGCGTGAGTCATCTCTAGTTGGATCCTTTTGGTTTCTCAGGACTTCTGTTGAAACAGCTTTGTGGATAGAGAAATGCTGGCAGGTGGTCCATGCACTGATTTTGTTCTGGTTGTTTTATTGGTTGAGTACTGTTTTGGGGGATGTGTAAATATTTCCTCTTTTCTTCCTTGAAAGGTTTCCTCTGGAAGGAGGCACAATCTGTCTTTAGTTTCTTTTAATTCCTTTTGCTTTTTAAACCTAAAGGAGCTTGAATTGGAGTCTGAGGAAGAGAAGAGCTTGAAGGACAGGACTGAGAGTCTTCCCTCTGCTCCTTCTCATTTCATTCCAAGTGCTACTTCTGCGAAACATCCAAACTGCAGATGGAGAAACCAAAGTGTCACAGAGATGGGACCAGATCCAGATGAACAAGATTTCAAAGTTCCACTGCAGAGCTGGAGAAAGAAGGAGGAATGCAGATGGGATCAGAATGATGAAAAGAGAGTCATTGCAGAAGCAGCCCAGGATACAGACTCCTGTGAAGAGGAAGATGCAGCCAGAGGTCGTGTGCTTGCTTTGCGCCCTCTCCCAAAAGATGCTGCTTGGTACAAAAAACTGTTTTACCCTCACTGTGAGGCCTCAATCAATCCTAGTCCTGGAGGGAGGCTGGAGAGCTCAGACATAGTGAGAAATCTTCTGGAGAAACACCAAGGGGATGTCCTGTTCCACAGCCCTCGCTTCTACACAGCCAGGGCCAAATGTGTTAAGTCCATACCAGGCTACAGAGACTTGGCATTTCCTGATTTTTGGAGTCACCAGCCACCTCCTCACAGCAAGCCCATGCTGGAGCGCAAGCAGGGAGTTCAAAGGTGATTGTGCTTTCATAAAATTACCACACTGAGAGTTCTCCAGCTCAAAGCTGGCTTATGTAGAATCTGACTCTAACATTTCTGAATGTCTTAGGAAGTTATAGAACAAATTTTTGGCTACCCAATGATTTGCCTCAAGGCCAAACAGCAGGGTGACCTTATCTAGGTCTTCCTCCCGAGGAAATGGAATTAGCATCTCCCTGGATTAGGAACAGGATTAGGAATCAGCAAGCCTATTCCCTACCTCTGACATGGACTCCCTCTGTGTCAGTGGGTGAGCTGTGCACTATGTGTTGCTTTCTTTGTCTCATAGATCAAGGTGGAAGTGGCAACTCTGGGGAGAGATATTTATGATTTCTGTGAATCCATACTCACCTACCTAGTATTTCAAATTGTTATTGATTAAACCAGCTATTGATAAATGCATTGATATAGTGATGTTTGTGACAGGACTCAGCTACTCAAAGTTCTGACATACATTTACTAGTGACTTTTCATTAAAGTAACCAGATCAAGACCCAGAGTATGCTGTGAACACAAATGAGAACAAGTCCATTTTAGAGATGAAGAAGACTCTGTGTCCTTTCAGGATACATTTTTACGCTCAATCTTGCTCTTTACCCAGCCACCTTTAGTGCTTGCAACATTGGGTCCCATCTGGCTCTTTGAGGGAAAATCCTTTCTGTCGTCTCAGAAAGGGCCTCTCATTTTATTTAGGTGCTCAGATGAGTGGGAAGCTGTGTTTGGAAACTGTGCTGGGAGAGGAAGCTCTTATAACCACAGTTTTGTTTGTTCCATGTGTGGCTGTGTGCAATGACTTTACATTTCTTTTTAGTGGTATAGGGAATTATTATCAGATAGAAAAGAGGCTGGATTCTATGCTAAACTTTAGAGTTGATCAACACTAATCAAATGGCTTTTGTGAAGAACACTGATTTCTGATCTCTAGAGAGAATGATTCTTTCTGCAGCAAATACAAAAGCTAGAGATCTTATTTAGAGGCAAAATCACTCTACCATCTTCTTGCACTGTTGCTCTAAAAGCTTTGCTTTTATGGCTACAACAACATGTGTAACTGCACAGCTGAAATGGGAGTAATCATGACATACTTCAGGGTATAACATGATTGCTTCAAAGGTCAGGAAGAAAAATCTGGTATTCCACATTTGATCATCTTTAGGGATTAGAGAAACTCCATTTAAATAGTAGAAATCAGCTTGACTTAAAGTCAAGATTCCCTTTGAATCAGACTAGTAGGTTTATAAGTTATGGCAGATATTTCCTCACAGGGCAAGACTGGCCACTTGGGAGGTTGGCCTTGAGTAGGAAGAACTGGGAATAAATCAAAATTGACACAATACTACAGAGAATAGAAATTTTTCAGAATCAGTCACTTAACCCAAAAGGCAAGTCATAATGGGAATAGAGTAGATGCATTCTCGTGGTGGGAAAAGATAAAGTTCACCTGGAATTAGCATATGGAAGAAGTCCTTCCTTATCAATCCTTGAAAAGAATTTCCAAAGACTCTTCATATGACTTCTAGAAGAATCTACTATATTGAGATTTATCAGAGTGTCATTACAATTTACTGCTTTCTTTCTCCTAGGGACAAAGTCCTAGATGATGTTCGCCGCCTAATCCAGCCGGGTGATGTGATCGGCAGAACTGTGTTTGATTTGGATGAGCCCAGGTGGGTAACTACAACTGAGCACTGTAACCAGGGGTACTGTCAGTGCTGGGTGGGGTGGTGAGCTCAGTTCACTTGTACAGCTCTGAGAAAGGTAAAGAAGAAATAACACAGGAGCTAAAGCCTCAGTGGAGAAAATATCCTAAAGGAGTAAGTTCCTTGTGCGTGACCCCATGGAAAGGATTCATTGTGGAAGTCACTGGAGCAGAAAAGTCTCAAAACTTTTAGACAGAGCAAGAGAATCCATACATCAGTGAGACTGTATGGTGTCCCTGGATATGTCTGCATTGCGTGTAATGATTTGGAACAGAGATGGGCAGACTGGTGCTGGAGATTATACAAGTTTCTCTGCAGTCTGAAGCAGCATTTCCCACTGAGTTTCTGCACAGCCAGTGTCACGGGCTGTAGATGTACTCTATTTTATAAGTGTGACACTCACAAAAGTCTTCTGAAAACCACACATCTGGCCTTGGGAACTATTTTAAGTGCTCAGCTATGGTCAGCAATAGTGGTCTTTGAGACATAGCGCAGGGCAGTTGAGAGGGTCCCAAATATGAAGAAGTTGCATTCAGAGGAAGGATGAATGAATTGGAGAACACTCTTTAGATGAAAAAAAGGTAAAGGACAGTTTGAGGTAGGAGAAAGTTGTGAAGTTGTTTAAGATTAATTTACAGATTTCTAAGCTATAGGAGAAGGAAACTATATAGATGAGGGAAGAGTAAATGTGTAGTAATTGTATAAAGCTGCCCTCTGCAATTAATGAATTAATAGGAATAGCCCAGTGGGAAAGTAGTTGGAATAAAGAAAGCAAACACGAACTGTGACAAAAAGGAGTATTGGGAAAAGGAAAGATGTGATTTAGAATTACCAAGCAAGAGTAGAGAGGAAAGGTGCATCAGATAGGAGGATTATGGATTTGCTCACCTCTTGCTCCTACCCAGGGTCCTGCCTATTAAAGAAATTATTAAAGCCTATTATAGCATGCAAAAGGCGCTGGGGAAAGCTTGTCTTTGAAGCAGCCTGCTATAAGTGTCCTTGCTTTGCTTTACAGCAGCTGCTCAAGCCCAGGTGCTCCAGGTTGTCTGACATTCTTCTCCAAGTTTGAATCGGGAAACCTTCGCAAAGCCATCCAAGTGCGTGAGTAAGTACAGCTGGAGCAGATGTGTCCCAGCCTGCCTTCTGCTGCAACCACAGCGTGGAATGGTGGTGTTCTCCTGGGTTTGGAAAGGGCCAGCCAGGGAAACAGGTGACGTGGCACAGAGCTAATCATGCCTTCCAACACCTAAATGTCAGGAAAGCAACAGGAGTAAGAAAACAGAGCTCAAAATGTTTTGACAAGACCAATGCAGTATGAGTATTTAAAGGTGTTTGAGCTTTGTGAGTTTAATGCTGTTCTCTGACGCTCAGAAAATACTAATGAATTAGATTGTATAGCCTGTTGTCAGCATGTTCACTGGCAGACATGGGGTGTTTATGGTCACTGTTTTTTCTATGTTTTTTGATAGGTTTGAGTATGACTTAATTATGAATGCAGATGTTAACAGCAACCAGCATCACCAGTGGTTCTACTTCGAAGTCCGTGACATGAAGTTAGCAGTTCCCTATCGCTTCAACATTATCAACTGTGAGAAGTTCAATAGCCAGTTTAATTATGGTATGAGTCCTTGGGGAATTGGGGTGGCCTTCTGTTCACAAGAATATCTTTTTAATGCCAGAAAGGTTTTAAACTTTCCATGTCTATAAGTATAGGGAGACTGTAAGTTTAATCTTGTCTGCCCTGAAATACACTGAAAGAGTCACTTCAGATTTGTCAAAGTACTTTTGTCTATCCTCAGGAGGACTGGGGAATAAACTGAATATTGAGACCTGGGAGAGGATCTGTGGGGGAAAAAAATTGTCACTGTTGTGTTTATAGATCAGGGAAAAATGGCACTAGAGCTGAGAGAGGTGTGGGGAAAAAAAGACAATCTGTTGGAACTGAATGAACAGCATAGGATTGGAAAGTACTTCTAAGATGTAAGTAAATGTGATAATCCTCAAACAAATATTCATGTTTCTTTGGGTTTATCCAGCAAGACATCTATGACTTCAGACCTACTAAAACTTCTGTTGATATTAATAATGATAAGAAATTCTGTTCCTTGCTGTCTTTAAGGTCCTGTCACAGTCCGTGGTTCAGGAGGATGGCAGCATTGCTCAGAAATAGGCAGGGCAAATACCAGCTTTCAATACTGATTTTAGAAGAGAAGTTATTTCTTCTGCATGGAGACTGGATTGAATTGTTAGCTGGCATGGGTTGGGTTTTTTTTTTATTTGTTTCCATGGAACTCTGTTAATTTACACCAGCTCAAGACCTGACTCAGAATGTTTAATAAGTCCATAATATCAGACTTTGCATTCCTCTGAAGCCCTGTGGCTACAGCCTTTAGCATCACCAGGACAACTCTCTCAAGATCAATGTACCTAAAACAAATAGCATTAGGAGCTGGAATCACTTGTCACTTGTATGTATGAAACTGGCTGAATGAGTGACATGACGAATTATAAGGCATTTGCTCTTTAACCCTAAGGGCTGAGGTTCAAATATTCATATAAATCCCAACTGAAAATTATTTATTTTTGTCATCTTATACTACTTCCCTGAATTACCAAACAATTCAGAGTGGTGTGTCTGGTAGGAGCCTAAACATGAAGTATGTTATGTCCTACTGTAGACCTGAGTACAACCCCTGATGCAGCCACCGGTGCCTTCACAGCCAGAGATTCAGGCTATTATTGATGGAAGGTTGTTTGTTATCTGCTAGTTTGGCTGTTGTCAACATTTGTAGTCTCATTTTGTGTACCTGAAATTTACATGACTCACATGTTCAAGCATGCAGTGAAAAATATATTTGGAAGAGAAATGTGAAAATACCATCTGGAGTAAGGAGGGAGGCTAAGCCCTGTCTCACTTTTGGATGGCTTGTACATGGGATTGGCTATCAAACAAATCTTCTGTGGGTTACTTCTGCTGCTCTGAGCAGGCAGTGAAGCTCCAGCTTTTCTGGCTTGGCTGAGTGAGACTCACTACCCCTTCCAGCACATGCATAACATTTACACAGACCATTGCTGTTTATTTGCCACATTCCCTCTGCACTTTTCCTGGGCTTATGCCCACACTATATTACTAAAAGCCTCCAGTTGCGATGTAGTGGCAAAGTGCCCTGGGTGGCAACTCCTGGTTACTTGTCTGGTTTGATTTTTCCCTTTTTCTCTTGGTTAGATGGCACTGTGTGACTTTCAAACCAGCGAAAAGAATACTTAGTGAAATAGTTGTGGCCAGGAGCAGAGCAAGTCAGGAAGTGCAGCCTCCACCTCTCTCCTCCCCTCTTTTTCACTGACTTACTTTACCACGGGAAATAATGGGATTTCATCTGAAGCCTGATTTCAGTTTGTTTTCTAAAATTGAACATTTCCATAGGGAAATTGGGAAGGAAAAACTGATTTATTTTACTTTTTTTAATTAAAATGAGATGGTAGACTAGTATCAACCACTGCTCTGAGGTAGTTTCCAGTTTGTCTCCTTTGGACACAGAGAGAAGGGCAGGAGATGGCATTTGGGATGTTGAGAGCCCTGAATACCCTGAGCCCCACATCTCTTGTCTGATAAACTGGGCATCTGGACAGGTCTGTGACTCCCAAAACTTGCTGTGGCCCATGTCCTGGAACCAAACACAGTTGTTTCTTGTATGTGACTTAGGGCACTGATTCAGGAAACGGCAATATAGAGGTTACTCCTGGGTGCAGGTGAGTTAGTGCCACCCCACAGCACAGCCAAATAAGATCTGGAAAGGCATTGCTGCTGATACACTTCCTGGCTCTGAAAGTGTTGGAGAATTTAACACAGAAACCCAAAGGAAGAAGAGAACTGAATAGCTGCTTATGGAAATATGTCATCAGTATTAATGATTTTCAAGCATCACCTCCTCCCAGCACAAGAACAGCCAAGAGAAGGCTCAGGGGGCAACTTATCAACATGCAAAAATACTTGAAAGGGCATTTTTCTCTTTCTTAAATACTCTTTCACAGAAGTGCTGCCAGCAACCATTGGTGGGCTCAGCTGTGGCTGTGCTGGGTCCACTGGAGCTGGCTGGCAGCAGCCATCCCTGCAGCCCCCAGCCCCTCACCAGGGGCACGCTGTGCAGAGAGCTTTGCTGTGAGGGCAGCATCCTCACCGTGCCTGTGAAAGAGCAGGCAGGTGTGTACAGCAAAGGAATTTGATTCAAAAAACTCCCTGCAGATGGGCTGGCTTCATGGAGCTGTGAGTAATGTGTACACAGCTCAGATCAGAGACAGCCTGGTACCTTGGGGCACAAAATTTTGGAGGTCAGGAAGGAGTCATCCTCTGGGATAATATGGTACAAAGATGGATGCTATTGTTATCAGCATTTATGACACATAGAGGTTATTGAGGTCTAATAGTAAGTTTAAACCCTTCTAGTTTTGCTTGCTGTTTTCTGAAGGTAGGGTATTGGATGCACCACTGATCTCTAATGCTGTGGTAGGATTAAGAGTTCAATACTAGTGCAGCCAAGCACAAAATATTCCACTAACCAAATTAAGGATCTTGTTGATGCCTTGATTCCTATTCTTTCCTTTCCTCTGTTTTTAAACAGAATGAAGTCCTCCTTTGCGGACAGTAGGATAATTTATTTTTTAATAAACTCCATCGAGCTCATTTCTTCTGGAGGTGCTTTTTGTACAGACATAGCTATATCAGAACAAAGCACAGGGCTTTGGGAATGTATTTACTTTGCATAAACTATCTGCAGAGAAAGCACTGGCAAAATATTGTTGCTTCTTGTTTAGCCTTTCCCTTCCCACTTCTGTCTTTTCCAGCCAGGGAAGTCACATCAATTGAAAATATCTTGTTTTATTTAGGTATGCAGCCGGTCATGTACTCAGTGAAGGAAGCTGTCCAGGGCAGGCCTCGCTGGATTCGGGCAGGCCATGATATCTGCTACTACAAGTAAGTGTGATTTTGGTGAATAATCTGTGCCTTCCTTCCTCCACTGTTTCCCTTCTGTTAACTGTATTGATCTCATGAATCTCTCACCACCACTATTCCTTCTTCCAAATGTCTCTAAATTGGTGCTGGGTCCACCTTCAGAAAACAGCTCCCAGTGAGATCTCAATATTAGATGCCAGGGGAGAAACAGGGCATGTGCAGAATTCACTTCCCTAGGAGGAAGGACGTGGAAAGGGAATGGGAAGTGCTCAAACCTTGCTGGTGCAGCCAGGAATAGAAGGAAGCTTAACCCACTAAAGTAGTGAAGTTGGCTTTTCCCCCTGTCCATGAAAGAATGAGCTGTATGGGATCATTGTTTTTCTGTTGCACACACTGACTTTTGTAAGAGATGTAGGAGCTGAGAAGGTAAAGAAGGGGTTAGATATACACAGGGTTGTGTGGGAAGGGGTGTATATGTACATGCACTATATACACCTATATAATTATATATAAAGAAATAGCCATATGCAAATTCATATTTGTGAATTTATACCTTAGTATCTTCATGACCTTCCCTTCTGCTCCAATCATCCTAGAAGGCAAATTGATCTGTGGACCATTCTAATTGGCACCATATAGACCCTGTCCTGACAGCAGAAACAGTAGGGATTAGTCTTACTATCCTATGGGAAGTTTTGTCTTTCTGCTGGGGTGAGGCAACAGTGGTGTAAAGGAGGCCTCACAAGCTCAGTGCTGATATTTATGCAAGTTCCCTGTTTCAGGCTGTTTTTGCAGTGTGCCAGAGCCTTAGAAGAAAAATACTCAATCAGTCTCATCTTTAACTTGTGTCTGAGCTGGAGCTTGACTCATGTGAGACATTCCCGCTCAGGTTTCTCATTTTCATGCAGAAAACTGATCCCTGATTCATCCTGCTTATTACAGTCAAAGGAGACAAGCTTCGTGTTTCAGTAGGTTGAATGCATTCCGTTTTATTTTCTCAAGGCTTCCAAAATGTTATCCACTATGCTATTTATTTTAAAAATGATGATTAAAAGGGTTTTCAGGACTAGCTTAATTGGTATGTTTTGGATTAGAATGTATGTGCAGAGTTGAAGGCTGGGGGAAAGAATAGAACAAGTAGGAAAATTACAGGTATGAGTAAATGTATTTGGTTGAATGCCTGTGAGTGGGATGTCTGGGAATGATGTAGCCTGGGGTGGTGTAAGCGGGAAGACCTGCAATGGAAAAAAGAGGTTGTATGTTGAGGATGAACAGTTAGGGCATTATGGGTGAAGTTCACATACTGTGTAATCAAACACTGCAACTTTTGATGTTAATTAATTATTTTATCCTTGCCGTACCTGTCATGACCTGAAAGCTGGGTCTGAGAATGCCTGAGTGACACGTTTTCCCTTTCTTTCTTTTGTTCTTCTAATTATTTTTTTTTCTACCATGATTCCTATTCACCAGTTTGCATCACTAGTTTCTCAGTCTCTCAGGATGCTGTAAGTGCTGCATTAGGTTCTACATAAACAAGCCAAAAGTCTGATTCTTGCCACTAATACCTTGCAGTTGAAGCTCAGAGTTTGGGCTACCTGGTGACTGAAGACAGGGAAATACGAGAAAACAGAAAGGTGTTAACAGAATTAATGATCATAAATGTCTGGCATGGTAAATGGGGCTCAGGAAAAAGCTGAACTTTTCTGATGTTCTAAATGGTACTCCTTTCTTCATTAATTCTTGTGGTGAGGCTGATTTTGGAAACTGTTGTGAAACAATGGGATTTCTCTTTGTTAGAAATGGTATTTGTGCTATGTTCAGAGGTGACTGTGTTCACAAGTGGGTTTGATGAGACAATAAACCCAAACAAAGACAGTGGGCTGCCTTCCAGAAGTAGCAGAGCCTCAAACTTGTGTTGACACCAAAAAATTCCAAGTTGTCCCAATCTCTGTGGTAATTTTTTCTTTCTGGTGTTTTTTGGGTTTTTTTTTTTTTTTTTTGGTGGTGGGGGGAGCTGAAGGCTCAGGTTATCCTCTCTCAACCTGGAATCTGTCTACAGCAATTTGAGTAGCTGTTTTATTTTGTTTCAGGTATTCTTCACTAATTTTTCTTCAGCTAATCTTAAACTTTTCTACCTCAAGAACTAATGTAGTGTGGTGCATTGGCTTCCCTTTACATGCCTGTAATCTCTGGCTTCTCTGAGTATGAGCTTCTGGTTGTGCAGACTTTACACACTGAATACCCAAGCAGTGGCTTCCCATGTCACGAACAAGGCAGCTATTGTGCAGTGATTAAACAGCAGCTGACTTCCAAGATTAAACCATGATTGTACAATTAAGCCTGTAATTAGATTCTTGTTCTGAATATATGAGAGAATAATTTTATTGATTTGGAATATTCTGTGTCTTCTAGCTGTGCATTAAATTATATGTCAACATAATCATCTAGGATAACTATACTTCTGTTGTCTCTCATAATTGTTTGTCCAAGTTTTCACATATTTTTGTATATACAAGAATGTGCATATACACATATATAGGCACTTTCACTTCTACTGAAACTCTAACTTTTTTTCCAGTGATTATAAAAGAGATTCCCTGTCATGAGAAGTTATATGGGGGAGGGAATGTGAAGATAGTGTGTTTGGGGTTTCTCAGATGAGGAAGAAATGGGATTGCTATAGAGATATCATGCTGACAGAGTTTTGGGGAACAAGCTCATTTCATTTCCATTCTCCCTGTTCACAGATATCCTGGAGTCAGAGTGCACATTTCAACGGGAACCTCATCTAATTACTTTTACCAGGAGTTATTCATAAACCAGGAGTTATTCATAAATATGGGAAAAGAGTGATATACTTACAAAAATAGAGAGGAACTCAAAGATGCCCTTAATTGCTTTTGCAGAAGGGCCTTTACTGAGAGACACCTCTGAGTTGAAGGACAATGGGAGGAAAGGCTCATTGGTGAGATGTCTGGGTGAAGCAGGTTGGCTTCTCTTTGGCATTCATCTTCCCTGAAGATGGGATAGTTCACTCACAAAAATGAATGTTGTGGCACAGCTGTGTCATCGTGTACCTTTCTCATATGTCTCACAAGAGTTTTTATGTTATGGAGAATATTAGCAGAGCTCTTGTCAAAAAGAAGCTGAGTGACACTTCTGCTCTATTTTATTGCCTCTCTGTGAAGTGACAGGATACACCCATGGTAAACAGTTGCAGTTATTATAAGATCATCTAATTCTCTTGCTGTCTTGGCAGCTTTTATGCACTGAATAATATTCCTTTCTGGCAAAGTATTTAAGGAACAATGGCAGCTGAATGCTGAATTGGTGACAATGTGCTTGTGCCTTTGGTTTCATGGCTCATTCTAAGCATATTATCTAACTTCCAGCTTTTTCAGACAATAGTCAGTTCATGGATGGTAATGAGGTACATGGAGTGTTTTGTTCTCACTTCACCACTAAAAACTTGGCTGTTTAGTGATCATAATGGTGTCAGAACTAGGTCTTCTCTTTTCAGCATCTTTATAATCACATTAGATGAAATAATCATCGTAACATTAGCAGGTCACCTCTCAGCTCTAATGAGATCTGTGAGATGGCTGAGACACCAGTCTCATTTTGAGAGCACCTGGTCTTTGCAATGTGATTGAACACCTTACAGCAAGATGGCTGTGGGAATATTATAATTCCACTGGGATTCTGCCTGAACTCTTGACAACAAAAATGCCTCAACATGGATTTGGCCCCTGAAAAGGAACTTGTGCTGTGCATTTTCCAGTTTCCAGTGTGGCAGATCCCAAAATAACAGCTGTACCCAGTGAATTGTAAAATACTGCTTTTTATTGTATGAACGAGGGTATTACTAAGGCCTATTGCACTTAATAGCCACACTTAGAGATGTAAGGAGGTCAGGAGACGTAAAATGGGGACACCAAACTCCAGGTGGGAAGTATTTTGTACCAAGGGAATGCATCAGCAGGTTAGAAGTGATAAACATTTTCAAAGCAGTTTGTTTTGAAATGACCCAGAAAGATAGAATATTGATACTTTCTTTGGCCATTTTAGTCTAGGCCAATAAATGCTGTATTTCATCACCTAACAGTGCTTTTTACCATGCTGCAGATTGGAAGTCTAAAGAAGAGATGGCCAAGAGATACTGTTCCTGAATAGTTTGGTGCTTTTGAATTTCTCAGCTACAATTCAGCTCCTTTACTGCCTGCATCTTTGTCCAAGTTGCTTCATCTGTCTGTCTCTGTTTTCCCATCTGTAAAGGGTGGAAAATTAGAGTCACTTATCTGCCACCCAAAGAATGGAAATAGATAAATGGGAAGCACATTTTAATTAGATAATGTTTGCAAAGATCTTTTAAGCACAAAAAATTATTGTGCAGAGTAAGTGATAAGTAGCATTATAATTATTATTAATTAACTTTTCATCACAGCTATGCTGGAAACATACTACCTGTACATTTTTTCTGAAGAAGAACAGCAAGCAAAGTGATTTCACTATTACAAAGTGACTGAAAGGCACAGTAGATACAGCTTGCATGCCCATTGAGAAAACCACACTTTGGTCTTAATTTTTCTTTCCAATAATCAGTGTGTCTAGCTTCTAGAGAGCATGAGAGACTTCCAATGTTTTTTTTTGAAAGAGAAGACAAATAAGGTAGTGGGAAGCAGATGTTGCCAGGGTCTTTTTTCCTTCCCTTTTCCTTGCTTTTTGCTTTAGGCTCCATGCTAATATTATAGGGTGTTGTGATGAAAAAGTGGTGAGGAGCCAAAAAATCCCATTAATCCAGTGGAGGAAAAAGGAAGCAGTAGAACCATTTTGACTTGATAGCAGTAGGAGGAGAGGGAGGCAAAGAGGAGAAATGCTATTTTTTTGGTGTTTCTTTTAAAAATATTCAGAGCTACTGCTTTGTATAATGGATTGTGAGGAGACCAGATTACATGCAGTAAACGTACCATGATCATTTACACTGCTTACACAGGGAGTTTTTTCTTCTTAATGCATGAGTGAAGAATGTTGAAGCCTCCCAAAGCTACCAATAAACTTCCTGTTGCTGCCAGATAGTTTGCTATAGACTGAAGCAGGTGTCAAGAAGTGATTCAAAAGCCTGGAGATGTTGTTTCTGGGTGGGTATTAAGGTGGAACAGCAGAGACACTCAGAGCAAGAATGAAATGTACTGCTAAGCAGTGCTGTGAGAATTCTGTGCATCAGTACCCACGTGATTGTGTGATCTGAGTGGTCAGGAGTAAGGACCATTGACTATCAGTGTAGCATCAAGGTCAGGGGTGTCTGGTGCTGCAAAGCCTCAGGGTTAAGTGGCCATTTTAGGCAGGAGAGACACTTTTGGCTTCAGAATTACAGAATATAGAGGGAGAAGCCTTTACTGGAGCATCACATGTGGGAATAATGTGTATGTAAGACATTTAGGCAGTATCTGCCTGCAAAGACCTGCTTCCTCCCAGTGTGAATTTGGAGGTGAGGACTTGGAAGAACTCAGCACTTTGTGACAGTTCTTTATGAATAAGGTCATCTAATCTTCCAAGTGGCACTGAGTATAATAGAAGCTATGGAGATGAGCACTTTCCTTCTGCACTATGCAAGAAACAGTTCTTAATTATCCTTCATTGTCAAAATTAACAGGAACTATATTAAATGTCATTGTTCTGACTTTAAAGAAAGACTAGACTCTAACCCTTGATCCACCAAAATACACATATAATACCTAAGTAGATGTTTCTATATTTGTGGGTTCATTTTTTTCCCCTCTGAGTCTCTGTCCAATATTAAGGTGGTTTATTTGCAAAGGAAATGTTGGGGTTAAGAGTTCAGCTGAGAATAAAATCATAGGCCTTTTAGTTTGCCACTGTGACTCAGTGTTTCTGCACTATCTATTGATCCAGTCTGTATCACTCACCCCACATGTTCCTGACTGTTGAATTCAGGTGAAAACCCAGCAGCATTGTATTGTGTCTCTCTTATGAAAAAGAGCTGATTATTTTGGAGAATTTGACAAGAATAATTATCTTTTCTCTCCTCCCCTTTGAATAAAAATGAAGGACAGCAAAATAAACTAGTATTGTAAAATTCAGGAGCTGAAATTGCATCTTTTGGTTGCCTCTTCTATTTTGCATTTTAATGCAACATTGATGATAACATTTGTCAAAGAAACCTCACAGTCCTTTGGAATCAGAAGGTTCAGCAACAGCATAATTGGTGCAATGTGGGAAAAATATTGTTTGAAATGTACTTATGGATGCAATTTGCTGTGAGGCTTCTCCCTAAAGTACATGATTTGTCTCTTCTTCTCTGCTGAAAGAAAACTTTCCTCCTCAACCTGAAGTCATCTCTTCATCAGAGTAAGTTTCCTGCAAGAGATCTGGTCCTGAATGTAGACTGAGAAGCTCACTGTAAGATTTTTTAGTTTTATTGAAGGCACTGTCAAGGACCTGTGCACCCTGTTAGACCTTGATGATGCTGACCAGCCCCTCCCAGAGCTCTGTTGTATTGAGGCTCCAGCTGTCACTGCTGCATCCCTGCTCTGCTATCAGTCCTGATGACCCAGACCCTGACACTTGGACCAACCTTCTGGCTTGACTCAGACCTGCCTCACTACCACAAACTTGTCTGATGATCTAGATGTGTTGGTTGAACCAGTAGTTGAACCCGTCTGTCCCCAGGCATGCCCTGCTCAGGTGCTGTGGGAGCTGACCCTGCCTGGTGAGCTCTTCTGGCTTCCACATCAAGCTCAGTTCCTCACAGGGAGCAATTGTTCCTCACTGCTCCCTGAGAGGGAGAGGCTGAAGTCTTCAAAAAGGAGGGATCCGAAATAGAGGATTGTTTGGGTAGCTCACAACCTGCAAATCTTTATAAGGTCATTTCTCCTTCATGCTCAGTCTCTACCCAAACCTGCTCTCCTCCTCTTCCTTCTCAACAAAGAGCCTTTGATGGTATCTGGAATATTTTTATGTATGTCCTGTTTATTATTTATTTTTGTGCCTGAAATATCACTTTTCTTTCTGTAGTGGAACTGAATAGTTGGTTTGGTAGGATATTCATATTTTCTAAATCTCCAGGCTTTTCACAGAATATTTTCACATGGCATTGTTCAGAGCTGTGAATAGGAACCTGCATCTCTAAGCAAGATAATTTGGATATCTGAAGAAATATGGCAGTGTTAGCTGAATGCATTAGTTTAAATATGTCTGGATTGTGCTATATGAGCTAGTATTAGCTGGCTGCTTCTTTATTTGCATTTTCCCAAAATGAAGCAAACTGTTATTTCCCTGCGAGAGTGCTCCCATCCATCAGCAGCATGTGACTGGCAGTGCTCTGTACTGCCACATGCAGTTCTGCCTCTTCACTCCCTGTGGGTCTTCGTGTCCTGTTGTGAATCCCAGGACACCCTGAACCTGGGGTACCACCTTGATTTGTGGTAGTCACCATGGTGACCCTGTTTGGATCTCTGTCCAGTGGAGTTGTGGTTTCTCCAACCTTCCTTCTTTCATACAGGCTGCAGGTGCATTGCTGGGTCACTGGGTATTGTTTGGTAGTGTGTTATATTTTTGTACCTGCTCATTACTGGGATTGGATTTATTGTACTTATATGGAGCCTCTGTACAATGACTGGTTAAGTTTGGAGCCCCTCCTACAGCATGAGATGAAAGCTCATTCAGAGTGGATGCTTCTCTGAATGCTTAGTTCTCTTGTGGCTTCTCCAAATGTGCATCTAGAAGTGCAAAATATTTACTTTCCTCCTCTTTCTTTTCTTCCAGAAACCACTACCACTGCAGGGCAACTGCAGGAGGAGGCATGAGAGGAAAGTTCTATTACACACTCACCTTCAGCATCAAGTTCCCGCATAAAGATGACGTCTGTTACCTGGCCTACCATTACCCCTATACCTACTCCACAATGATGGTAATACTGACATGTCCACCTAGATAAGATAATGGTCCTGACAGGTTGGAGCTGCTTGGGTATGTGTAGATTTCGAGATGAGATAGAGGAGTGTTTTCACACTTCTTCATCTCTGCAGGTGTTCAAGGCTAGGTTGGATGGGGCTTTGAGTAACCTGGTCTAGTGGAAGGTGTCCCTGCCCACAGCAGGGGGAGTTGGAACTGGGTGATCTTTAAGATCCCTTCCAACCAAAATCACTCTATGCTCGTGATGGTGTCATTGTCTTGTTTACAACTGCAGCCCCTGCCAGTTCGAAAGCCCAGAATGCTGTAGGAGAAATTCCTGTATAGGAAAATGTGGGGTACAAACTATTAGTGCTCATACCAGTCAAAATGCAAACCAAAGGTGTCTCCATTTGCTTAGGGTTACAGGATTCTCCTCCTGGAGGGGTGGGAAGCAGGGGGCTAAAGCTAGTGGCAACTCAGATGTGCTGTCTGATCCTCCTGACAAGGGGTAACAGCTCAGCTTTCAGAGCTGCACCCAGCAATACCACAGTGCTGGACCTCATCTGATGCTTTACCAACTTTTTCCTCTGCCAGTTGGAGTTTCAGCAGGCATTTGTGACACTCCCACCAGTGCTGTCAGTACAGAAACTAAAAGAATACAACTCTAAAGCATAAATTGATTGCTGAGTTGCACCAAGTTTGATTCCTCGGGAAGGATTTGTTTTCTAGGGCCTTTTCTGGCCAGGGGTGGATAGTAAGGGAATTTTCTTGGAAAGGCATCCAGTGTCCTTTCTCTATAACTGGATGCAAAAGTCTCAAAAGAAGGTAGTATGACAGAAGGTAAATGAATAGTTCTGGGAGTAGCTGTGCAAAGATGAGAAAGATGTCACTGAAAACAAAACCACACAGTTCCAGTAGATCAGTTCCCCTTCCTTCTCCCCTCAATTTCCATTATTAATACATATTCTTTTGGGTAATAAATGCTGGTGTGGGTTGGTGGAGTTTGAGCTCATTCTATTTTTTTGTTATGGGATTGGTTTGCCTACCCAGATATTAGAGACTGTGCTTTCATGGGGACAGTGTCCTCCTCCACATACTCACCACCCTGCTTGGCGTGCCAGCAGAGTTAGGCTTAGATTAATTCCCACTCAAACAAGTCTCATCAACTGCTTTGCATCCCATTATAGATGCTCAAAGAAACTGCTTCCAATATTTGGGAGAAGGCCAGTCAAGCTTTCACAGTCCAAAACATGTCTGTCAGCTCACTTCTTATCAGTCTTATGGGTACCAGTTACTCCTCAAAATCCATGAGGAAGAGTGTATGCTCCCATGGTGGGGTTTAACCTCTACCCTTGAAGGCACATATATCTACAGTCTGTGGGGGGAAAAAACAAATACAATACTGAAGGATTAGGTGGGCTTATTCACCATCATGCTTGTTTCACGTAAATGCACTGCCTCATGATTATTTCACTGTTATTGATTTCTATCTTCTGCTGGCACAAAGCAAGAGAGACTTGGAGAGTTTGTGCACTCTGGGAATTCCTGAATATCTCACCTGCTCCTGAATGAATAGAATAGACATGAAAAAGATGTTATTCCTTCACTTGCAGGACCAGGTCTTTAAATATTTCACTGTCTCTTCAAATGAAATGCTCATTGAAGTTAAAGGGAATTTGCCCCAGGAAAAGTTAAAATTAACTTAGACCCAATAAGGACCATAAGGTTGGGTAAATGGAAATTATGGTCAGGAAAGATTGATAGATTGCCATGTCCAGCTCTTTAGCCAAAGCAAATTCATTGCCTCTAATAATTCTAAATAGCTTCTTTGCTTGGGCTAATTTAAAATGTCGAGTGATGCAATATACACATTTCCATTTTACTTTAATTTCCACAGTAAATAAACTAAATCAGGTTTGTGCATCAGTAGATTGCATTTTAAAGCATTTGTCCACTAGTGAAGTGTGTTGGTTTTACACATCAATAATAAATTAAAAATGATTATGAACCCAAGGGCTCAATTAAACACATAGTGCTTTGGGGAAGAAGATAAACTTGTATATGGAGCTAGTAATTTGAAAATGTTTTTAAATATCATATATATTTAATAGTTACAGGCATATTTGCAGGAAATACACTGCAGAATCCTATTTGAACTGGACGCACTCTGCAGTTCATTACTTCTTGTACGTTAGTAATTACATTTCTTTTATGAACAGTAATTTATCTATTTTTGCATCACAGTCTTAATTGTTTGGATATCTAACTGAAATCTCAGTGGCAGCTATACCCAATTAAGTTTCACTGGGTACCAGAAACATAAGTAAATGATTATATTGAGTTCTCTGTATCTATGAGAGATTGTTATATGCATTTAATAATTAAATTTACTTTATTGGCAGTATTTTAATTGTTCTATAGCATAGATGACTGTAAATTTCACTTCTATGTTTACATGGCTCTATTTCGATACTGGGAAAGCAGTCTGAAAGATGGTGAGTTCTAAGGTTTGAGGAACAGGAGGAATGTCTTGTCCCATAAATACCAGTTAAAATTTAGCCCTGAGTTGTACAGACAATAAGTTACAGTGTAAGGGTCGCTCAGTGAATTGATGTGTTTCAGTTAAAGCATTGTTAGGACAAGTGTGCCTAGTACACTATCCCTATTTCTACCAATTGAGAGACAACTGGTGTTCCACAACACTTAGCAACACCCTGCAATGGCATTACTTACACTCATCTTGCCACTTGCAATTACAGTGTAAACAGAGAACTACACATCATCTGGTGTGTGGGTGACAAGTGGCTGTTTGTCTAATGAGGCGATCAGAATTTGTTCCAGGAAGTCTTTTTTTCTAAGCTGCCAGTTCTTTTTCTCAAATTTCTCTAGGAGCTGTTGGATTTAAGAATTGTTTAAAGCTGTCATAAACTTTGGGGGTGGGGAGAAAATCTCCTTTTCAAGTAACTTCTTGGAAAGACGCTCTTCAAATTTACCACTACTGACTGTACAAAACGTTTTGCTTGGATGTAAACTTTTTGGCTGCCTCTGATATGGAGTTGTCACTGAGTTTCACTGGCATGTGCTTGACAGCTAACCAATCAGTTCTATAAATGTTCAAAAATGGTGAGTTTTCTCATGTTTCTACACAATCCCTATTAAAATATAAAGAGTAGATGCTTCTCTTTTGGATTTCATGTATGCATAGAAATTTCTTTACGATAATAAGAGAAGCACCTAGGAACTGTTCAGGTAAAATCATACAATTGCTTGGGTTGGAAGGGACCCTTAAAGATAATCTAGTCCAACCCCTCTGCAAAGAAAAGGGACAACTTCAACTAGACCATGATATAAGAATAAATAATTCTGTGTAGCTTCAGTGCATTGGAATGTATTGTGAATGGCTTGTGCATATTTGTGAGATGCAAAAGATGGTGATATTAACTGGTAGAAGAGAGGAGCTGGAAAGTTAGCAAGATATGAAATTAGTATCAATAATAATATACAGCTAGTGGAATAAAATCAGAATTTATAGACCAAGAACTCCCTTATAAATCTGCTTCCTTCCTTCATTTTCAGTCCCATCTTGATATTCTGGAACAAAATAGGAACCCTAAGAAGGTTTACTGGAGGCAGCAGACACTCTGCCAGACACTGGGAGGAAATCCATGCCCATTGCTCACAATCACTGCTATGCCAGAATCTAAAAAAAGAAACGACCTGGAGCAATTCTGTAAGTAGCCAAATGAAGCATTAAAAAAGATGCTGGTGAGTTGTGCTCATGTCAGCAGTGACAATGACAACCTGTTTTGTGAAAATGCTGATTTTTCTTGTCTTTCTCATTTTGGAAAAAGAAACCTAAATATGGGGAATAGCCGATTACAATGCGTTTAAAAAATTACAGGCTTGAATGGAGAAAGGAGGAGAACTGACGTCATTTTGCTCCTCAAATTTCTCTTTAATTATTTGAAACAATTGCAAAGTTAAATATCAAATATTACCTACCACAAAGAAAATGTGTTCAAGTAACTAATTCAACAAGAATTTTTTTTTTTATGTTATGTTCCATATTGAAATGATTTATGTATTTTGAATTCTAAAACTTGCAAAAAAAAAAAAAAAAAAAGAGTACAAGATAACTTGTTCCTAGCTGGAGCAGCACTTGAAGTGTTCTGGTGAAATTCCAGCTCCTGCAGTGTGCCCAGTAGATCCATCTGGACACAATATAGCTCTCTGCATTCTATCTGAGACCTAACTGATGATGTACTATCTAATGGTAAATATTATAATTGCCGTTTTATATCTAGAGATGGTTATTTTTCATTGTGAAAGCCAAAGATTTAGACCTTCGGTGGCGTTGATTAACAAGATTAAGTAATGCAAGTTTCTGTATCCCAACAGCAAGTGATAAGAAGATTTACATTAGCACCACATTGGGCTAGGTTCAGTTTTAGAGCCTAAATGACTAACTACTTATATCTAGGTTGAACTTTTTTCTGGAGTAAGGAACAAGGCACACACTGATTTTTTTATTTATTTTTTTAATCTCTACTCTTCACATGTAACATGGGTTGAGAACTTTTGAGGAAGTGTGTGTGAGTATTTAAATTGTCTTAAGACATTTTTGGATGTTAAGTGAATAGATCTGATTACCTCACTTAAATACTAGTCTAGCAGTATCCAAAGGGATTCAGTGATATGGTAAAATTTCTCATTGCAGAATTCTCATTTCAGGGTTATGTGGAGCTATTTGAGTGGACTCCTCATAATGTCCATTCTACATGCATAAACTAAAAGAAAGCTCAAATATTGGAGCTGGTGATAATTATTGCTATCTTTTTTGGTTCAGGTTTAGTTCAGTCACTGTGGTTACGCTGCCATTACAGTGTAATCATCTGGAGCTCATACCTTTTTATTATAATAATTTTATTACAAATCGAGCTTTTACCCTGAATTAGCAAATTGATGATCATGAACATGCTTTTCGAGGTTGAAATATTAACAAAAAATAGCCAAGTGCAGGCTACATGGGAATTCGTAACATGAATGCACACACTGAGCTTTAATTGTGGAAACTGGAGGCAGTGTCAAAGAGAAAACTGGATTTTTGGTGTTGCTATTATCAGTATTATTATATATCAGTATTATTTACACTGCAGTAGCAGGTCTTAAGGGGCCAACTGAAAGGAAATAAATTGGAATATTTTATTTGAGGATTGAAGCCATCTGGAAGAGACATGCAGGGAACACTTTTTTCTCCCCAAGTGAGGAGGCCTTTCCAATGCTGGTACAAAGGAAAAGCTAGGTCAATATTTGGATTTATCAAAGCAAGGACTTGGAGTGAGTCAGTCATATGATGAGTGAATGTCCTAAACATTGAACTTAAACTTCTTTGGCTTTGAGAGGGCTTTCTGAAAGGTGTGTTTCGTCATAGAAAAGCAAAAAAAGCAGTTTCAAGGAAGTATCATGATATAAATGTGACAATGTTAGGAGGCATTGCCATTTTCTGGAGCACTGTATTCTCAGGGTAAATTAGACTGCTTATTGTGGTGTTAAAAGAGAGTCTGGCAGGTTTTCAAAGGCCATTAACCTGTCTGTGAAGTCAAGGTTTGGCTCGTTTATTCAGCGCAGGTTTGCTGAAAGATTCATAAAGTGTCTAGGAATGGTTTGGACAGATACTACTTCCAAATGTTTCAGACTGTTGTAATATACTGCATCTGAGGTCAAATTGCAATTATGTGGCTCAAGTCCTCTTTATTTTCAAGAGAAATAAATATCCTGATTTGTGATATTTGTAGTCAAGGGGAGCTTGCATTTCTCACTGAAATGCCATGAAATGATGTGCCACTAAACCCTTCCTCTGAAGCCTTGCAATACAACAAGTTTAAAGACTTCCTAGATTTATCCATGAACCAGTGGAACTCAATCAAAACAGAACACGTAGCAAACCCAGTTGTCTAACTGAAAAAGAAATTGTTTGGGGGAAAGACATTGTCAAGGCAACACAGCTTGTCTCAAGTTTCCAAGACTATAAAAGTAAACACCAATACTCTTAAGTGATGAAAATATTTATTGTTTCATCAAGTGGAAGAACAGTAAGGCAGCACACCATGTTTTATGCTGTGGGGATGCCTCTAGGCAAATCAGAATAATCACGTATGTGCTTATTTTCTTTAAGTAACTTGGATAATTATGGCTTTTGGGGACACACTTAGCGTAATTTGTGCTGCTTTGTGGCTGTGATCAGCACTTACTTCGCAGTTTCCTCATCTTGTTTAACACACCCTTCTCTCAGTGAAGTGTTTTGGCTGGTGGAAGGACCTATTTGTCAATGTTTTCCACGCTAAAAACATAACTCAAAAGCAACAACTTAGCGCTAAATATGAAGGGACCAAAGGGTGGAAGATTTCTCTGTAACAACTCCCGTTGCTTTGTACAGTCTCCATGCGTGTGTATTTCAGCCTGAGAAGTGACGTGGAGCTCCAGGACTGGGCAACTGGGCACATGGGTAATAAATACAAATTGATAGCCCTTGTTCTTTCCTTCTGGTTCTGGCCAATTCAGAGTTTGCATGAGCTATAACCATTTTGATTTCCTATCAAATTTATTTCTCCTTTGTACATTTAACCTGCACCTTGAGAGTTTCTTTTCGACAATGCAGGTGGCACAGGTAAAACACAAATCTCACCAGGAGTTCGTAGCTCTTGCAAATGATTGTGCTTAAGTACTCTAAATCCTTCTCTAGTTAAAAACATGAGGAGTAGGAAAGGTTACGGATAAAGAGGCATTGGGTGGGTGAGAAGTACTGGGAAGGCAGCAGGATCAGCACAGTAGGAGTGCAGTGGGAAGGAGTTACTGTGGTACTGGAGGTGCTGATGGAGTGGGAGAGGCCTAGGGACAGTGAGGGCATGGCATCCTCTGTGTCAGCTGTGCTTTATTTCCCTTACTCACCTCTTTCAGATTGCTTTTGATTAATGTGGCCCTAGGATGGTTAAATTTGTCTGAGTTAAATTTATTAACGTGCACCTTGTTAATAGGAAGCACAAGCCATGCACGCTCGCAGGCACTGCACACACACCACGTGCTGAAGGGAAGAAAAATGGGCTGCTGCTTCCCTTCATTACACCTTGTTTGTGTGAGGCTTTGATATTCACTTTAGGCTCCTTTCTCCTTCTTCTCTTCCTATCTGCCCTTTACGTGATGGCAGTACACTGAATAATTTTTATTTAATGCTCAGTTCTGAAACTGATATGAAGAAAGAAAGAAGTGAGCTGGGAACTATTTGGCTTCCTGTGCTTTGACTCTCAGTCATGCAACCACTTAGTTACAAACTGGACAACCTCCATTCAAACTTGATTGATGTCTATGGGTACCTGGAGGCTGCAACAAAAGTCTGAGGCTGGTCAGTGGTCCCTGCTGGGCTCTGCAGCTCCATAGACTTGTACAAACAGAAACTGAGAATGTCTATTCTTTTGGGTTTTTGTGGTTGCTGTTTTATTTTAAATTTGCCCTTCCTGCCCTTGTGATAAAGCCCTGGGTTTCCCATTCTGACTCTGTGAGAGTGACTTTATTTCTGGCTCTGCTAGATCTAGCCTTAGACACTGCCTGAAGAGAGTTAAAGGGACTTTTGAAGGGAGAGAGATTCCCAACAACTTTAAGAGCATTATCAAATGAATGCAAAACCAGGGAGAATGATAAAGCTTCCAATCTTTGTGCTAACTGCTCTGTGAATTAGTAGGAGTTTGCAGAGCTCTGATTTTCTTGGATTTGCCACACACAGAGCCCAGTGAAGGCAGTGTTAGCAGCATGTATGTTTACTGAGTTGCAAACTCCTAATTCACAGTGTTATTTATGCATGCAAACGTGCAGTGTGTAACTCTACTAAACTCCCTGGCAGACAGCTGGGTAGACCCTGTGAGCCATAGGATACTGTTGTAAGAGACAGATCAAGTGGACAGAGTAACTCTTCAGTGAAGTGTAAGTAAAACATCTAAACAATGATGCACAGGCAACAATAAAATTGTCTTCTTGTTAAGAAAGTAAAGGATACTGATATGTTGTAAATGGTAACAGAGCAGAGGAATTAAAACCACCAAATGCAAAATGATTGGAGAGAGAAGGACAGCGTACACTCTACGTTGCCATGTGAGTGTTTTTCAGGAGGTGTTTTCTGGCAGTGCCCTGAGCTGGGGTGGATTTAGTCTCACCTTTAGTTAGAGAAAGGAAGAGGCAGGACACCTCTGAAGTGATGTAGAATAGCTGCCATTCTGTTTAGTGCTAATTCAGAGGAATAACTGAAACAGTCCCAAAGGAATTCCTTAGAGGAATGAAGATTTCAATGGGTGTAGGGTGGTGCAGCAGTGCACTGCTTCAGCTGATGACTCCCAACATTGCTGCATTCTCAGCTGAAGGACATGAGCATCATATATCACCATGGGGGTTAATCCTTTATCCACTGAGAACAGTGTCACTGCAGAGTGGGACAGGACAATGATTGTTAGTAACGTCATGAAGAAAGCAACTGCAAAGCTCTTTTCATGGCTTGTTGTACTGTTGTCATCCCCATTAATAATCCTGATTATTCAGTGTGACATGAGTATTCCCCAAGTCAACACACCTGATGATTGTCCTTTTAGCAGTGTGTAGCCTTACAGAGCTGAATTGTGGGGTTTAAAGTTAAACCAAAATGTCCTAGCTTATTAGCAGCAGGGGTGAGGGAAATGAAACAAAAAT